GGTGGGGAGCCCCAGGATGTACGAGAACTCTCAACTCCTCTCCATTCAGGACTTGTGTAATCCCTCTGATCCTTTGTCCTTGGGCTTGTGGGGTGGGGTCCTGCCCATCCCTCTGATCCTTTGTCCTTGGGCTTGTGGGGTGGGGTCCTGCCCATCCCTCTGATCCTTTGTCCTTGGGCTTGTGGGGTGGGGTCCTGCCCATCCCTCTGATCCTTTGTCCTTGGGCTTGTGGGGTGGGGTCCTGCCCATCCCTCTGATCCTTTGTCCTTGGGCTTGTGGGGTGGGGTCCTGCCCAAGGACAAAGGATCAGAGGGATGGGCAGGACCCCACCCCACAAGCCCAAGGACAAAAGATCAGAGGGATGGGCAGGACCCCACCCCACAAGCCCATGCCTTCAACTCAAAGTACAAATGCCTTCTGGAGAAAGGTGGTAGAGGATAGGGTTTGCTGAGAAGCTGACACTCATGTAGGTCATGAAATCACTGGTGTGGGATGAAGCCATCTCCTGACAGTTACAGCAAGCAGCAGAATTCCAAGTCCTACCTATAGCTGCTGGGTGAGCTGTCTTGAAGTATCAGCTTGACTAGTGCTGCTCTGAATAGTTTTAACCCTTTTCTGAACCCTGGGGCTATGTCTAGACTGGCATGATTTTCCGCAAATGCTTCTACTGGAAATTGTTTTTCTGTTAAAAGCATTTGTGGAAAAGCTAATGGAAATTTTTTCTGTTAAAAGCATTTGTGGAAAAGAGCATCTAGATTGGCAGGATGCTTTTCCACAAAAGCACTTTTTGCAGAAAAGCGCCCATGCCAATCTAGATACCGTTTTGCACAAGAAAGTCCTGATTGCCATTTTCACGATCGGGGCTTTTTTAGAAGTAGCATGATTAGTGACCCCCACAACAGTCCCAAATTATTTACAATTCGCCACATTCCTTTTGCGCAAAAGGACTTTTGCCCGAACAGGAGCAGCATAGCATTTCTGAAAGAAACACTAATTTCTTACATGAGATCATCAGTGTTCTTGAAGAAATTCAAGTGGCCAGTGTAGACAACTAGCAAGTTTTTCTGCAGAAGCAGCTGCTTTTGGGGAAAGACTTGCCAGTCTAGATGCAGCCTGGTTGTCTGTATTTGCAATGGTGGTAATTCCCCCTGCTGTATCAGTATTTAAAACATTGGGTTGGATCAGGAGTCAGATGCTCTAGTTCTTAACTTTTTCCCTCTGTTTAGCTGCTTGAGAATAATGGTAGATGGAAGACATTTTTTTAGCCTTAAGATGACTGTTCCCCTTTTCCTCCCTGCCCCCCACAACACCATTCACACCCACCCTCTTTAGTGGAGAGTCCAAGAAGGAAAGTCTGACTCTGCTGTGTGTACAGATCAGATTAAAAGGGTCATGTGGTGGATCAAGTGTCTACAGCCCCACAAAATGAAAAGGGTTTAGAGAAAGGATGCTCTTGATGCTGCTTAATTCTTCATGGGATGCTCTCATGGCTTTGTGGTAGAGGGTAGGTGTTACCCTTGCACTCCCCTTTCCTGTAGGCTGAGGCTAAGCACATTGGGCTGTCCTTTTTAAGATGCTCTTACAGTGGGGTACATTGGACTTACATAAGATTTTCCAGCCTATGCTAGAGAGGAGATGGCAGCCTTACCATACCCTGCAGCAGAGAATTAACCTCAGGGCAAAATTCCTCTCCCTGTTTCAGTTGCACTCAAATCTTCACTTCTGTACTGAACAGCAGCTTCTTGGGTCATACACTGCTTGTGCCGTCAGGGTGACCTAACAGGAGGTATTCCAGCAGTAACAAAGGGTGATTCTACTATGCCGCATGCATGGTATGTGGGACTTCTATGGCAGGGCAGCTAATCACCATGGAGTCAACTGTTAAATGTAAGAGGCAGCAACAGCTTTTCCTTCCCTTAGCTAAGCAAGGTATTAGGTTGGAAAGGGCAGAAATGCCAGCTGAGAACAGGGCCTCATTTCCAAATGCCCAGCTCCTTCCTTGCAAGGCATTTGCTCCATACTCCTATTATATTTCCATACTCATATTTGCAATTACAAAGGGGATGCACCCCATTTGAATGCAGGAGGCTTGAATGCACCAACCAACCTCCAGGTGTGATTGTGTTAATAGGCTGTTATTCTTGCAGTTGGCTTGGGAAGCACTTTAGCTTAACAGGGTGCCATTCTAGCTGTGTTCTTCCTAAAGGGGCAAGAGAATATATGGAGATATACCTATCTCATAGAGCTGGAAGGGACCTTGAGAGGTCATCAAGTCTACTCCCCTGCCCTCACAGCAGGACCAAGTACTATCCCTGACAGAAAATACAGGACTATGCAGCACTTTAAAGACCAACAAGGTGGTTTATTAGATGATGAGCTTTCGTGGGCCAGACCTACTTCTTCAGATCAAATAGTAGAAGAAAATTGTCACAACCATATATACCAAAGGATACAATTAAAAAAAATGAACACATATGAAAAGGACAAATCAAATTTCAGAACAGAAGGGGGTTGGGGGGGAAGGTAAATGTCTGTGAGCTAATGATATTAGCGGTGATAATTATCATTAGCTCACAGACATTTACCTCCCCCCCGCCCCATCCTGTTCTGAAATTTGATTTGTCCTTCTCATATGTGTTAATTTTTTTTAATTGTATCCTTTGGTATATATGGTTGTGACAATTTTCTTCCACTATTTGATCTGAGGAAGTGGGTCTGGCCCACAAAAGCTCATCACCTAATAAACCATCTTGTTAGTCTTTAAAGTGCTACATTGTACTGTTTTTTGTTTCAGCTACACCAGACTAACATGGCTACATTTCTATCACTATCCCTGACAGATTTGTCCCAAAGGGCCTCTCTCCTTCAAGGATTGAGCTCATGACCTTGGGTTTAACAGGCCAATGCTCAAACCACTGAGCTACCTTTCACCCTGAAGATGGAGACTTTGATTCTACTTAAGATCCATCATGGCAGGCTTCTTTATTCTGAACCTGCAACCATGCCCCCTCACCGCAGGGCCATAACACTCCATCTATCTGCAGCAGCTGTTTGCAGTCAGATCACAGCACTAGATCAGCAAGGAGTCAGCTAGGCTATGTCTACACTGGTGCAATCTTGCGCCAGAGATATGCAAATGAGGCTAAGCATGGAATATTGCTGAGCCTCATTTACATACCTAATGAGCTGCCATTTTTGCGGAAGAGGCTCTTGCACTAGAAGGAGCTGTCTACACTGCCTCTTCTTGCACAAGAAAAACCCTCTTGCGCAATGCCGCTACGCTGATTATTTTCAGGAATAATGGCATTGCGCAAAAGGATTTTTCTTGCACAAGAAGGGCAGTGTAGACAGATCCTTCTAGCGCAAGAGCCTCTTCCGCAAATATGGTGGCTCGTTAGGTATGCAAATGAGGCTCGGCAATATTCCACACTTAGCCTCATTTGCATATCTGGTGCAAGATCGCGCCAGTGTAAACGTAGCCCTAGGGTGCGTCTAGACTGGCAAGATTTTGCTTTGCGCAAAATCTTGCCGCCTGTCCACACTGGCCGCAAGTATTTGCGCAAGAACACTGACTTTGTAATATACAAAATCAGTGGTTCTTACGCAAATACTCTGACGCTCCCGCTCAGGGATAAGCCCTCTTGGGCAAGTATTCTTGCGCAAGAGGGCCAGTGTAGACAGCAATGTTAATTTCTTGCGGAAGAAAGCCTGATGGCTAAAATGGCCATCGGAGCTTTCTTGCGCAAGAGAGCGTCTACACTGGCACTGATGCTTTTGCGCAAAAGCACATGCCAGCATAAACGCTCTCTTGCACAAATACTTTAACACAAAAACTCAAGTGTTTCTCTGTGCCCAGGAGAGGCTGTTAGAGATCAGCACAGAGATAATTTAAGGGGCTGGAAGGAAGTTAAATGAAAGACCCTGTAACATGGCTCAGCAGTGGGAGAGGTTAACTCTTCAAATACCCTAATGGAGAAACATCCCCCTAGCAGTTTTTAGAGTGTACACTTGCTTAGCAGCATAATGTGGGGCATAAATTTCCCTGAGGGATGGGAGGTTATGTATTTAGGATTCCATGCCTTTAATTTGCAAGGCCCCCTCACACTGGATAAGTTCTCACTGTTTAACATAGAAAGCTGAGATGTGGATGGGTGTCACTGCTGTTCACAGAGGGAGTTGGGTTGAGCCAAAATTAGAACCTGGAAGTCCTGGAGCTGTTTCATACCTATTTTGCAGCTACGTAAGCTCAGAGTCTTCAGGGTGCACTGCTCAAAGCTTTCCCAGCTTGCTAGAGATCTCTCAAACATGCTGTCTGTGGCAAGGAGGTGGGACTATTCACATAGCTAGTAGATTTTATTTTCTGCAGCAGAACCTGGATGAGCCAGTTGAGGTCAGGGCCCTATTGTGTCAGATGCTGTAGCCAAAACATGAAAGCCAGTCCCTGCCTCAGAGAGTTTACAATTCAAACAGTCAAAGGAGAGAGGGGAAGAAGGGCCATTCAGTGGCAGAGCTGGGACTAGAACTCAAGCATCTGAGTCACTTTCCAACATCCTACTCACTGAAAGAGCTACAGAAACTCATCCAAAATTCAGCGGCTGTGTCTACACTGCACCCCTTTTCCAGAAAAGGGATGCAGATGAGACAAATCGGAATTGCAAATGAAGCAGGGGATTTAAATTTTCCCCGCTTCATTTGTATAAACATGGCTGCCGCTTTTTTCTGGCTCGGGGCTTTGCCAGAAAAAAGCGCCAGTCTAGACGGGGATCTTTTGGAAAATAAAGCCTTTTCCGAAAAGTCCCTTATTCCTGATTTTAAGAGGAATAAGAGACCTTTCGGAAAAGGCTTTATTTTCCGAAAGATCCCCGTCTAGACTGGCACTTTTCTCCGGCAAAGCCCCGAGCTGGAAAAAAGCGGCAGCCATGTTTATACAAATGAAGCGGGGAAAATTTAAACCCCCTCTTCATTTGCAATTCTGACTTCTCATCTGCATCCCTTTTCTGGAAAAGGGGTGCAGTGTAGACATAGCCAGCCTGTTTGGAAGAAGCTGCTTGCCTGCTCCAGGGTCTAGACTGAGACCAGGGATGTTCAAGATCTCCTCCACTTGCTTCCCCTGGAGGTGGAATGGGATCTGAGATAGGGAACAGCTAGGTGGATGGGCTTATGGCCTCTCAGGAAGCTTGTTGACTCATATGCTAAGCCAGAGGGATCAGCAGTTCACTTTATCTAAGAAGCCAAAGCTACATTTCCATTCCCCCCCACACACCTAGACCCAGAAAACCATGATTATTCCAAACATGCCCCCAGAGAAACCACCGCTTCATGCCCCCTTTATCTATTTAATGGGACATTGCCCTGCCAGACCCCTCCTTCCTGAGGAGTGGGGTCAGCTGTTCAGCTAATATCATGTGGAGATAGCTGGGTGGGTCCTCAAATCCCTATTGACCAACAACATCCTGACACTGATTGGCTGGATGATTAGAGAAATACAGGTTTGGGAGCAGAGGTAGCTGGGAGGCTGATAAAAGGTAGGAAAAGGACCTACAAGGAGTCTGTTGGTTGGTGGGTGTAGGGCCTAGTGTAGTGGCTGAGCTTGTTTATGGTAAACTGTTTTTGCAGCTTTGGTTCACTGGATGATTCCCTCTGGGAGGGAGGGTGGGTGCATGTGTTTATCTGGGCTTGTAAGGGACTTACTAACCATCTCACTTTGAAGGCTCCCAGCTATTGTAAAAGGAGCGCTGGGGTGTAATGCAGCCTCTGTTAAGGGAAAAGCAACAAATCCGAGGGTTGCCCTACTCTAGACTCTGTGTTCCCTAAGGCTCATTTCCCTCCCTCCCCCCACTCTTGTCTGCAGTGGAAGGTGTTGTGGGCCCTGTTTAATGCAAGTGATTGGTACCTCACTTCTTGTGTGTTAAGAGTTACTGGGGTAAGTTTGGCTTGTGCGGTGCCACCTGCAAAGCTCACCCTGGGGTGTCTGTGCTCATGCTGCATTGGTGGAAGACTGGTGCATGGTGGACAGGCATCCTAGCGTCTTCTGAGTGGGTCACCTTGTGGAAAGCTGCTGTGTGTTGTGGGGTGCCTACATAGCTCTGAGTAGCTCTTTGTGCCAGCTGGGTTGGCTGCAAACAAGCCTGAGGTAAAGCTTCCTGGGGGGTTCTGGGAGATCAGTTTGGAGATGTGGGGATGACCCCCCCACAAACCCTAACTCCCCTTTGCTCTCCTATCCCAGTCTGTGCACTCCTGTGGCTTCCTGCAAAGCTTGATTCTCTACCCCAGCTTGTGCATCTCTTTGCAAAGCTTGACCCATCTATCCTAGGCCATTACTGACAAACACCAATGCACCACCAGCCACAACCCCCTTCCCTACTTATGGAAAATAGCTGCCCACCTCTGTGGTTCCTGGCATGTGGGTGTCATGGCTTGCAGGCTGTTAAGGCAGGGGGTCCCACCCTTTGTATTCCTGACCCAGGGGATCTCTACAGGTGCTCAGTGGCTGTTATTATCAGGTGTGAAGTAGCCAGTGCTGACTCCATGCACACAAGTGGGCATGAGATAATGTGGTTGTTCCAAGCCATGCCCATATTGTATTTCTGGGGCTGGAGCTACAGAGCTGGGTAAACTAATGTAGCTTTTCTCTTCCAGTGACAGTAACTGGGCAGGGACTGCCAGCCAGGGGCCTTGGATGCTGCAAGGGAAATGGTAAGCTACTCCCATGTGGGAGGTTGCCAATGGGCTGGCTGACATGCGTACTGTGACAGACTGGTGTGGCTGGCACACTTATGCCAGCTCATGTTAGTGTCCTGTGTTGCAGCACAGGACTGGAGTGTATTAGCTCAAGTAGCTCATGTAAAACGCAAGAGATGAGAAGATGGGGTGGGGGCAGTTGTCCTCCACTGCCACTGAGGTCAAGAAAGTGGGTTTGCAGCACTGGGCATTCAGGTGTCTGGCCCCTGGAAGTGAAGCGGATCACTAGGCTGCAAGAGGTGCTCCCACCAGGCTGTTTAGGAGGGCAGAGCAGGACCAGGGCTTGCAGGGGGTAATAGAGAATCAGAGCTCAGGTGCAAGTGGGATGCCAGTGGCAGTCAGGGTACCTGGTGAGGCAGAGGTAGCAGAAGCCAGGACAGGCAAGAGCTGCTGGAGCCAGAAAGTATTTCCTGGGGGAAGCTGAAGGCAAGGAGGGGAGCAAGAGGGCTCTGTGGGCTGAGCTGCCGAGCCAGAGCATGGCTAGAGAGGCTTGAGACTATAAGAGTGGCAACAGAAAGGGTTGCCTGCTGGCTCTAAACCAGAGAGCCAATGCTGGGGGCCAAAGGCAGGGGAGAGGCAGAGGGGTTCACCTGATCATGTCTTGTCCTCCAGTCAAGCTTTCTGGTGCCTAGTGAGAGAGGACAGGAACAATCTCCCAATGGAGAGGCCAGAGGGAGGTTCCTAGTAGGAAAAGCAGGGTTGCACTCCAGCTGGAAGGCCTGGGGTGACCATCCAGGCAAAGGGACAGAAGACCCACCAGGAGCCTAGGTGTGGCTGAAGACACTGGAGCATGGTGTGGAAGGACAGTGAGGCTGCTGGGGTGCCTGCTCTGAGGAGCAGGGTTTTGTGGGCTGTTCTCACTGGGTCTGAGAAGTGACCTTTGGGATTCTTGTTCTGCCCTGACTTGCACTATGGGTTCAATAGCAAACTGCCCTCACAGAAGGGTATTGGAGCATGAGAACCTGAAGTGGAGTCTCTCCCTGCCTGAGAAGGGAAACTAAGGCAGGGGCATTTGCTGGGCTGTGGCCTGTTGCAAGAGAGTGCACTGTCTGGCAGGGCAGTTAAGCTGTGGAACAGGCTTCCAGGGGAGGCTATGGAATCTCCCCCCTCCCCCAATTGGGATTTAAGAATAGGTTGGATAAAGGCCTGTTGGGGATGGACTAGGCTGATCCCACCCCCATGCTGAGGCAAAGCCAATATATGGTGACCTGTCCAGGTCCCTGCCAAACCCTACGTGGCTATGAAATCCCTCTTGATTTTGCCTGCCCTGGATGTAGTGCTGTGACACTGGACTTGCCCAGAGGCTGCTCCACAGGAGAGTTGGGTGAGCTTTTTGGTTCTGGCCAAAGAGTTGGGCTGGAAAAATGCAGATTTGGCAGCATGTTTAGTAAATTCATGCTGATTTGCTGAATGGTTTTGGTTGTGGGAGGTGAGTAGGAGGGAGCAACCAAAACCATGCTAACCTGCACTCCCAATTTTTCCACTTTCTTTATAAAAAAAAAAAAGAATTCTGCCAACCTGCACTCCCAATCTTTCCACTTTCTTTATAAAAAAAAAGAATTCTGCATAAATTGCAATAAGTGGAATTAAAACTAAAATAATTTGGGTCAATAGCGACTCTTGGGCAAACTTCCACAAAAGTGGAATAATTTGGGTCAAATTTAACTTTTGATTTGTTCAGAATTGCCCAGAAAGGAAAAACCTGTTGTATGCCCAATTCCATTTCCAGCTCCTGGGGACTGGTAATCACGAGACAAGTGGGGTTGGGGGGTTGGGGTGTCTGAACAACTCCTGGGCTGATTCAAGCAGTTTGCTACTCAGGTGCATAATGGGGTGGAGTTTGAGTCTCTCAAGAGAGTCCCTGCAGCTGGGGGTGAGAGGAAATTGCTTTCCTCAATGCACAGTTGGCTTAGTGTCACCTGGGGTTTTCTGAGCCTCAGAGCAGTGATACTCAGACCAGAACCAAGGCTCTGGGGTCTGTCCCTGTAGCTGATGCACCACCCAGGGCTGTCCCATAGTGCCTGGCTTGAAGCATGAATGGTTGGGCTCTGAATTGGGTCCCCCTCTTGCTTTCCAGACCCAGAAAGACGTTGCATCCTGCTGTAGCATCCCCCTTTCCAGGATCTGCCTGCTGCAGGCTGTGGTTGGCGCTGGTAGCTCAGGGGAGGATCCCAGCACCCTCCCCAGAGCTGGCAAGCCAGGGGACAGGCCTGCATCTCTCATGAAGCCCCTGAGGAGCCAGAAGGAGAAGCAAAGCATTGCCAAGCGGCTGAGTCTTGGCTTCACCTTGGTGCCCAGGAAGTCTCCGCTGGGCTGTTATATGGGCAGGCCTGTGCCCGCTAAGACCTGCTCCTTCCGTCGAAGCCTGGCTGTGGATGCCCGCCTGGGTGTTCCCTGGCAGCCTGCAGTGGTCTCTTCCAGCACCATTCCCTTCCACAGGGCTTCTGCAGTGTCCTGGCGGGCCGGCACTGCCCTGAGAACAGGCCATGCCACTGACCAGGCCTGGCTCAGGGGGAGCAGAATCCCTCTGCTGCACCCAATCAAGCCATCTCTGAGTAGAGTGAGACCTGTCTCTTCCCCTGTGGCAGTGATGCTGTTTGAGCCACCCAGTCCTGTGACCCGGGAGCCCAAACCCACAAGCAGGAGCAAGCTTGCTCTGGTCAAAGCTGCCATAGATTCCAGGAGGTGAGTGGGGCACTGAGGCCCCTCTGCCTTCCACCCTACTCAGATGGCGGGGTTAGAGGGTGGGGAGGGGGGCTCCTCTTGCAGGCAGTCATGAGCCCCTCTCCCTGTGTTCCTCTCACCAGAGAAGCAAGTTTGGCAGCAAAAGGGACCCCACTATGTTCCTCCGCAGTGATGGCATTGTCCTCCCATGGCATCCCACTGGAACTAGATGCTCCAAGGGAGGCTTGTATCTCTCTCAGTGGGGTTCAGTGGGCCCCTGTAGATCCCAGCTTGCACTAGGGGGGCAGCTGCTGTTGGGTGGCAATCTAGATATTCAGTGTGGCAAAACCAGCCATGATTCAAGGCCTCTCCAAGGCCATTTTGGGGTGCAGCTGTGCATCTCTCGGTCCTAATTTGGAGTCCCTTGGTCTCAGTGCTCATCAGAGAGCCTCCCCCAAAATGCCCTGTGCTCTTCTTTGAGGCTTGTCTCAAAATAGGGTGAGGCAGCTGGATTGAGAGGGGCTGCCTGGGGAGCTGTCTTGCTGTAACCCCACCCTTCCTAGAGGCTGGGGAGTGTTGAGGGGTGGATATTCACCCCTTCTCCTGCTCTGCCCCCAGAGCCCAGCAGGCAGAGTGTCAAGCTGCTAAGGGCGAGGTGGTGAAGAAACCTTTATCCAAGGAGCTGCCTCTCCTATCCTCCTGGCCCACCATCCTGGATGAAGAGGAGGTGGGATCGGAGTTGGACCAAGCCAGCCTGGCAGTTCCAGAGCTGCCCAACCAAGCTGGCAAGGTATCAGTTCCCTGCCTGGCTGGAGACAGCTGTGGAGGATTTCACTGGAGGGGGTTTTGAGGAGGAGCAGCAGGGGAGGTGTCTGGCTGCAGCGTGTATTGGAGTGAATTGGAAGGTTAGGCAGGGAGCAGAGAATTGATGGTGGGGAGGAGAGAGGAAGGTGCTAGATGGGGCTAGTGGAGTGGTAGTGGTGGTAAGCCATTTGGGGTGGAAGGGTTGCGGACAAGGATGATGGATATAGCAGATGGCACTGACCCTGGTGACATCACAAGGAAAAACCTGGGCAGAGGAAGCAGGCTGCTGAGTGAGGGGTGGGGGGACAGGCCTGGGGACAGCAGAACTTGAGAGGCTATGTGGTATTTGGGGGGGAGGATTGTGGGGTGGGGTGTGCGTGATGGGGCAAAGGCCTGTACTGTGCTGCTTGGGCAGGGGGACACTAATGGGCAAGAACCTTTCTTATCTGGAGAGGAGCCAGTCTGCTCCCATCTCCCTCTGTTCCAGGGTGCCTGCTGGGAGGATGAAATAGCACTGGAGGACCCAGTGACTCAGGAGGCCCAGAACTTGGAGGTGGACCCAGCTTTCAGCCAACAGCCTGCAGGGGCTACTGGCAACACTTCCCCTGCTGGCAAGGGGGGTCAGGTGAGGCATCTGGCTGCCACAGAAACCTCCCCCTTAAAATCCACCTCAGTGCTGTGACTGGCTTGAAATCTGGGGGGCTGCTACAGAGGCTGAGGTAGCTCTGTGTCATGACTCTGTGCTGGCCTCTTGGTCCTGGGTTCCAGAGACCGAGCTCCTCCATGTCTTCCTTTTAGTGGTCTGAAATCCTGCAACCACAGAGTTTCCGCTCAGCCCCTTCTCAGGGACCAGTGGCTTAGGCTTTTGGGGATTAAACTCTGGGGGTAAGGAGGAGCCTGGGGCAGTGTCCCAACTCTGCAGCCAGGGTTTGGTCTTCTGTGGGGACTGAAATACCCTGTGACCCAATCCTCTTGACCTTTTCACTAGCCGATCTCAAAGTGCTTCACAAAGATGGTCAGTCTCCCTTCCCCACACAATTTCCCACCTGGGGGAACCAAGGCACCAGAAGTCAAAGTGACTGGCCCCTAACAAAGTTGGAATAGAACCTGGTTGTCCTGGTCTGTCCAGTGCTCTAGCCACTAGGCCACAAGGCCTCCCCTAGTATGAATTCAGAGTATAAAGATGTTTCATGCTGGTATAACTCCCTACCATCTAGGAAGGGGAACAAGCTATTCCAGGATAAGAACTTTATCCTGGATTAACTGCCTCTAGGAGTTGTCCAGTATAAGTATATAGGCTTCTTCTAAAACCTGTCCCCTGAATCCACAGCTGTACAGAACAGCCTGCATAGAATAGGCTGAAGCTGGTGGTAAGCCCCATAAGCTCAGTGGGATGTGGGTCTCACCCATGTCCTTTTTCTCTATTACCTCGCAGATACTTACAGTGGATCAGTGAGGTCTGTAGACAATGGCAAGAAACTACTTTAGGCATCTGGTAAGTGATCTCCTTGGCTGACCTGAGGCCTGGGAATAGGTAGATGGGGAATCCTGAGTGGATCTGGTTTTTCCTGCCTCTGGGTCTGAATTCCATTGTGGGTCTAAGTGCTGCTGCTTTACATGGGGCTGAGATGACCTAATGGGCCCTTCAGATCTGAGGGTCTGTATGCAGGAATTCCTATGGGAAGTGCTTATCTGGTAAGTGATCTCCTTGGCTGACCTGAGGCCTGGGAATAGGTAGATGGGGAATCCTGAGTGGATCTGGTTTTTCCTGCCTCTGGGTCTGAATTCCATTGTGGGTCTAAGTGCTGCTGCTTTACATGGGGCTGAGATGACCTAATGGGCCCTTCAGATCTGAGGGTCTGTATGCAGGAATTCCTATGGGAAGTGCTTTGACACAGTCCCCTAAGTAAGTGGGGAAATCAGCCCCAGCATTCCCCCTGGCAGGCCAGAGCACAGGGGAGGGAGGCTTGGGCAGTGCGCTGCTCCGGCCTTCCCCATGCCAGCCAGAACATGCTTAATGTGGAGAACATGGAGGTGCAGGGGGGGGGAGGGAGAATGCTTTCACACCCTTCACACACCCCTTAAGTGCAGGCTGCATACTGTGGCTCCTGGCAGAACCCAAGGGCCGAAGCAGGGTTGTAATGGGTTGGTCCTTGGGTAGGTGACTGTGCAAGCCCCATGGTGCCTGGGAGTCAGGGGTGGCCTCAGTGTGCTACTAGGCAGTGTTGTAGGGAGGGGGTGTTTTCACCTCTGTGGACCCAGGTGTGATGGATAGGTGGGGTGCTGTGCACTCCCAGTTGGTGCTGCCCCACTGCCTGCCATTAGGGGGTGCTGTGCTGCTGGAGGTGCACTCTTCCAGCCCTGCGCTCTGGTCATTGATCACCGAAGACTGCCTGGCATGTATCCTGGGGCTGGACTGGAATAGGTCTGTATGTAAGAGTTGCACGGGTGTAGCTCTCCCAACACGGTAGAGATGCTGACATACAAGGAGAGGCTGGCAGCACCCCCATCCCTGTGAGGATGTAGGTGAGTAGGCACAGTTGTGCATGGCAAAAGCCCTTGTTTGGGTCTCTGATACGTCACTTACAAGGCTGTCTATACTGCGCTGTCTTGTGCAAGAAAATATGCAAATGAGGCAAAGCAGTGAATATCGCTGTGCCTCATCTGCATACTTATTGAGACACCATTTTTGCGCAAGGGGCTTTTGTGCAAAAAGGAGCCATCTACACAGCTCCTTTTTTGCACAAAAACCCCCTCTTGCGCAAGAGCTGTTCTGCCTGGGAGGGAAAAAAGTGGCAGCTCATTAAGTATGCAAATGAGGCACGGCGAGAGTCACTGCTTTGCCTAATTTGCATATTTTCTTGCATAAGAGCACAGTATAGACATAGCCACAGTCGGCAGCCGGCCCATCCTGAGGCTCACTGCTGTAGATTGGGAGGAGGGGGATTCATGACAGCTGTTCTAGGAGGGGATGGCTGGGTGGATTTCTGGGATGCCCAGCTGGCTAGGTCTGGCTATAGTAAGTTCCAGTTCACTGTGGTGGGAACCTCACCCACATTGTCCATTTCTGCACAGGCTCAGGAGGGATTGGGGTTTCCTAGCAAGTGGTGAAGGGCAGGCTGGGCTGGGCTGGGGTGTCAGTGGGAAGGGCATAAGGTGGCCCAACATAATATTATTGTGACCATGCCAATTTTAGGGTCTGTCTTGTTCACAATTATTGCTCCCTCCACTGCTTCCAGGGGAAAGCCTGTTTTTCAAACTTAACAGGTGGTCACATAGCAGGATGGGTTTTCAGCTTGCCTGGGATGGGGTGTGTGTGTACATCTAGAAACTGAGAGGGACAAGCAGCATATGCAGGATTCCTAACCTAAGAGGGGGCTAAGTTGGGCTTGGTGCTGGCTGAACTGATGCCCTGATGGTGTAATTATTCCTTTTGTCTCTAGCACTGCAGGCCAGTGTATGGAAGAGACTATCCAAGTGGTCATGCCCTGCCCCGGATTCATCTTCTCTCGCTGCAGAGTGAACAAGTTGTGGCCCTGGCCTGTATCCCTTGCTCCCTCTGTCCTTGCTGATCTTTCCTTCCCAAATGCTTATCAGAAGAGATCCCATCCTGTCTGCATTCAGAAGTTTCCAGAGCTGTTCTTAGCCTCCCAGTTGCATACAAGCTGTAACCTCTGAAACAGCTGTGGAGCTAAATGTATCTATTTGGTTCAGAGCTACAGCCTTCCAAAACTGTCAGTGTTGCTCCCTTCTAGCTTTTATATCTGTCTGTACCTGAAATCTTTGCAAAACCATGTTTTATGTGACCTGTACTGAATTCTTAATAAAAGTCTTTAATAAAGGTCCAACATGGTGGTGGAAATTGTGTTGAGGGACTGGAGAAGCTGTGGTGTATTATCTTCTGAAAGGGGGGGGCCAAGAGGTGACTTGAGCAGTCTAAGGCTGTCTACACTGCAAGGTTTTTGCACAAAAACCTGTGGAGCGTCCACACCTCAAATAAGCTTTTGCACAAGTAAATCAACAGTAAAACAGCAGAAGAGGGCTTTTTCTGGCGTAGGTAAACCTCATTCTATGAGGCATAATTCCTTTTTGCACTACAGCTATTGCGCAAAAAGGCAAGGGTGGATGCAAGAAGCCCCTATGGGGAAAAAGCACAGGTGCTCTGATGGCCATTCACAGTTTTCTTGCGCAAGAGCGTCCATGCAATGTGGATGCTCTCTTGCGCAAAAGCACATCGCTTTTGTGATGTGCTTTGAGGTGTGGACGTGCTCTTGCACCAGACATTTTTGCACAAAAAGCTTCTTGCGCAAGAAGCATGTAGTGTAGACTTAGCCAAAGTGAGTGTCTCCATGGGAAGAGATGTTGAGCTGACTAAAACTTCCTTTTAACCTCATTTGGAACAAAAAAAAATGGAATTTTTGTTTAGGAAATAGTTAAATTATATTGTTGAAGAGCTTCCCTTTGTCTTATGGTTTATCCGTTGTTGCTTGGGTACTTAACTCTAAGTGTTCTCTTCCCCCCACCCCCCTTCAGTTAATCATTGCTCTGGAGTGGAGGTAGAAATGAGGGGTTCAGTATGCCCTGGGAAGAGAGGATAACACAGCCTTCTCACAGCAGCAACTTGGGGCCAGGTGGAAAATGCTTGTTGATGGCAGCTGAAACAGGCACAACTGGGGGAGGGGTGCATGTCTTCCCCCCCCCCCCCCCATAGGGGACTGCTATAGTGTTTGTCTATCAATAGTTGTCCCTTTTTCCACCTCTGCCCCCTGCTGACATAATGGGGTTATAGATGTCCCAATCTCCCTCTCTGGCTCCTTGCTGCCTCCTTGTAGTCATTCTGTAGTACAGTATAGTTCCCTTCCACCAGACCCCCCCTCTGTTTCTCATAAAATGGAAAAGATCTAATTCAATGCACATCCCGCTATCATGGCACAACCAAATCATGACCTTGCTTTCAGTTAAGAGAAAGCTACATATAAACTACAACCGAATTTTTTACCAGTTAGGAGGAGTTCTTGGATGGATGGACAGATGCACATTTCTAAAATATATAGTATGATCTTATGCAGTAGAAACTTAGTTACACAAACAGTGGGAATGGAAATTGTTCATAACTATGAATGTTAAGATGGTTCTTTTAAAAGTTTACAACTGAACATTGACTTAATAGAGCCTTGAAACTTTACTATGCAGAAGATAAATGCTATGTTTAACTATCTTAATTTACATAAAATAGGCACAAGTTTCCTTACTTTAAAAAAAATCAATTAATGCACCATAGATACTAAAGATGCATCAAGGCATTTATTCAACTTTTCCACCCTTAAAGCCTGGTGATCTAGCCAGACCATTTGCAAGTTGTCTACCATTAGTGTCAATCTCCTTATACCCCCAGTCTGTGTGATGGCTGTAGAAATCTCTGATATAGACAGCTGGATGTGGCAGACTTGATAGAATCTGTTGGTTCCTGTTGACACTTGGCTGCTTGTAAATATTTGCCAGCCAGAAATTGCAGCCTGGATGGTGTCAAAGAATTAGTGGACATCAGCTAAATGGCATCTGCAGTGTCAGACTGAATGGCTGTGTCTAGACTGGCCAGTTTTTCCGGAAAATCAGATGCTTTTCCGGAAAAACTTGCCAGCTGTCTACACTGGCCGCTTGAATTTCTGCAAAAGCACTGACTTCCTACTGTAAGAAATCAGTGCTTTTTGCGGAAATACCATGCTGCTCCCATTTGGGCAAAAGTCCCTTTTGCGCAAAAGGGCCAGTGTAGACAGCTGAGATTTGTTTTGTGCAAAAAAGCCCCGATCGTGAAAATGGCAATCGAGGCTTTTTTGCGCAAAGCGTGTCTAGATTGGCCATGGACGCTTTTCCACAAAAAGTGCTTTTGTGGAAAAGCGTCCGTGCCAATCTAGATGCTCTTTTCTGAAAATGCTTTTAACGGAAAACTTTTCCATTAAAAGCATTTCCGGAAAATCATGTCAGTCTAGACGTAGCCAATGTGTGTGGTTCAGCCATATTTCGGGTGGAGTCATGTGGCACAACAGGTTGCAGGCATCAATACTGTAACACCCAGCTTTGGCCGTTGCTATTGTGTCTCTTGCAAGCAAATTATGTCAATAGTACATCAATGAGCAATAATGCTGAGTAAATCATATTTGGCAACTGATAAACCCTCCACTTTGAGTTGTAACATGCATAGAGCTGGTCCAATGACATAGAAATCACCCGGCTGAACATTGGGGTTGTTGGTGATTATAGTGCCGGTGTTCTTTGAGTGAGCGTTTATGGAATTTGGCTTACTGCTTGGACCATTAGCTTCCCTGACAATTGGCAGGTATTGGTGGGTGGCATGATGAGAATGCTGATCCATTGCCCTAGCGAGGCTGAAGGTGTATCATTCAGTGCTGGAATGATGGGCTGATGGAAGAAAGATACAATGTCATAATGAAGCAGGAGCCGAGGCTGGGTGAACCCATGATCTCATAACATGCAATAACCTCACAGTGAGATGTGACAGTCAGGTCAAGAGAGCCTGTTGTGATGTTGCATAATGATGTGATGGTGGGTTGACAATAGACTGCCATGATATCACATGATGACATCCTAGCAAAGTGCCATGCTAATGGTGGTAAATGCAAAGTGGTGTGGTGCCACATGAGGTTATAGCAACACAGCCTGTGGAAGGTGTATTAGGCTATTGCAATGTTGAATGATGATGTTATAAGAATGCAGTTATGGTGTTTTGTTGCAAGGTTGCTTTAATGGCATGAAGGTATGTTGTCATAAGGTCCTTTATGATGTCATGTGATTATATGACAAGGGCACAAGAATGGGGGTGATGCAAAGCTATTGTGATGTCACTGGAGGGTGTCCTTGGAATGTGACATGCTGATAGGGTGGATATGAAGCTGCTGTGGTGACACTGGAGGGTTCATAGCGACAGGCGATGGTGGATTGATGTGAGGCCCCTGAGGTTATGTGATGACATCACAATGGCACATCAATGATAGGTTGCATGAGGTCGCTATGGTGTCATAGCAACAGAAGAGAGGCTTGAGTGGGATGCTATGATGTAACACAATGACATCACCACACATGCCTACGTTGCATGGGGTGTCATACTGTTCCCATGGCTCGCCCACCCCTCCTTCCATCCCCACCAGTGGCCTAGCCTGGGCTTGTGCTGCTACGTGGGGGAAGGGTCTAGTGGCAGTTGCTGGGAGGAAGCGCTTCCGTCGTAGACCCGATGTGCCCCGGAAGCGCTTGCTGGGTGCGGGCTGCAGCTCCAAGATGGCGGCGGAGGACCCCCTGCAGACGC